AAGTGTGATTTTAAGTTGTATAATGTTATTTAATGTTGACATATCCTCTAGACTAATATGAGATTTGTTAACTTTTTTTGAAACAAAAGTCAACAAAATGCAAATACATCATATTGAAATATAAAATTATAAAAACATTTGTCATTAATGACACCCTCACTTGTCGGTGGTAGCAATGTGACTTATTAATAGTGACACTATCCCCTATCAATTTATATGTTCATATGAAACTTTAAGTTTTGAAAATATATATATCATTCAATTAACATAAATTTTAATAATACCTTCTGCATAATATTTATATTTTAAGTTAAATATAACTTAATTAAACACTTTGAATAAACAACACCTTCAATTCTAAAAGTTTCTTGTATCAGTTTTCAATATCCACATATTGACTTGTTAATAATGGCACTGTAACTTGTTAAATCTTTTGTTGGTAAATGTTATTTTCAAAATTATTTTGTTACATATAGCTTAATTAGAAATTTTAAATAAACAACATCTTCACATGATAAATAAATTGGCAACATGAAAATAGATCATCCATGAATATGATACAAAGCAATAATATTACTTGTACACTGGTCAATATCCCTTATACAAAATACGATGTTAACTACTAGAGCATCACTTATCAATACAACCACCTTAAATTGTCAACACAATCTTATCAACAATTTTTCATTTTAGCATTTAATTACTTCAATTAAAAATACAATTTACAAACACAATCGACATAAACAACAAAGGATTCTATTTCATTCTGTTGCTCTAATTTTTCCTCAGAAGCATATATAGACAGGACTTTGTTCATATGCAAGTTCTTTTGGTGACTAACAAACCACCATAGGCAACCAACTTTCAAATCATGGAGGTCTTCAAGGGAGTACTTCGGCATTATGTATCCATATTCATCATAAACTGTCCTATCCCACATTCGTAACCATTTGAGTACATGCACCCCGTATGAATCCTTGTAGACAAAACTTCATACTTTTGAATTTTTGACCATAAATGAAAAGACATTATAAAAACAATCAACCAAACTAACTCACCCATTAGTTTGTACATTGACTATGACCGGGTTAACTTGGTTATCCATTTGCTTCTCATACTCAAATAGTTGTTACTTCACCCTACGAAGTATTTGATACAAGCAATTTCTCTGCATAAAGAGAAAAGCATTCGATGCAATGACATCTGTGTAGTAAATATTGACAAGTGATAATACAGTGAATGACAACTAATTTATACACATCATGTTGCAAGTTTTTCCTTTGCATCTATTTCTCCTTTTTTCCCCCTCCTCTTTTTCACTGTAGTCTATTTCTTCCCACTCTTTGCCTCTTCTTCCTGTTGCTATAACCTCATATATGTTAGAGTATCCATCATAGAATCAAGGGCGTGGAATTTCATACTCTTTATGTCTATAACATAACAAAATCACTAACCAATGAACACTGTATGCCTAAATATAAAGTCACAGTCTTTAATATTATATCCTAAATATTCTAGTTCTCTTTTATGCTCTTCCAAATGCCATTTCCATAGATTTCCTACCATTTTTTGCATGAATTGTGATGAAAATATATGCCTGATCACTCTACTATTGTTTTCTTTTGGATCCCTTACCAAAGTATAAGCCACCATAGACATTACGTCCATATAGAACACAACCAATCAGTCATCATGATCATTACATAACTCAGTCACTAAACAACATATATATGCCTTACCCTAAAAAGTTGCAGCTCATTTGTCGATCTTTCCTTTCTATCTTCTTTCACATATTCTCAACTGTAAAAGCATCTAATTTCATTTTTTTCTCACATAAATATTATAACAATAGTTTAATAAATATTCAACCAATGCTCATGAATAATACCAAGGACAAAAACTCTGATAAACAGAAAAATTAAATGCTAATAACTTAGGAAGTTCAAAAAATAATTCAAAATAAGAGAATAAGCCCCACAGAGCTCCCTTTATAGAACCCAATAACTCAACGGAAAAATAAAGAACAGCAAGAAGGCCCAGGGCCCAATAACTCTATACAATCAGAGACTCAACTAACGGTCCTAAACTGGTAAATTCTAATTATAAAAATGTCCTCCTATTTCTTACAAACCTCCATGCCATTGATGAAAGCATAGGCATATTGATGAGATGGGCTGGGCATTAAGGTTATGACAAGACCCTCACTAGGGTCATAAATGTTGATGCAATACTCTCATAAAATGGTTTCTTTGCCAGCTTCATCAGCAGTGACTGAAGCACAGAAGTCTTTCAAAAGAGTGTGAGATCTAACTGTGACAAAGAAGAACAAGTCAGAGCAAAGGAAGTAGGGGTCATAGGAAAATGGGTAAAAATAAAGGTGAATAAACTTTTGGCCGTGCGTCTTCAATGGAAACAAGTAGGACATTTCAGAGCCAGAGAGACATACTGTATTGTAAGGGGTTATTTTAGAAAGTGGCTTGGTACTTACCAACGATGAGTCATTGCTGTCGGGGAATTTGATTGGACAGAATTGTTCTGAATCAATATCTCTAGTCTAGCTTTAGCCAACTAAAGAAGAAAAATTGCCGGAGCTACCATAATTGATTGCAAAATTATCATGAGTGTGGGAGATTACGCAAATAGTGAAAAGGAGAATTTTGAAGAGTAAGAGGAAAAGCATGGCCTTTGTTGGTAAGTCGTTCTCGTTCAAACTTTCCATAGTAGTTATAATGAAGAAGGTTTCCTTGTAATCCAGAAACAAATACGAGGTTTGAAGATATAGCTTATTTCGAGGCTCCATTGTATCATAGTATCATTGGCTACAGTCACATGAATTGGTATTCTCCAATTGCATAATAACATGTGTTGATTTTCAAGCGCAAAAGTCTACTCATTCAACGAAAAAGAAATGTTGACAAAAAAGATACTAAAGTCTAATCATTCAACAATGGCAACTGCCATATTAAGAAAGGAAAAAAAAAGCCCAAAAATTATTATCAACTCTTGAAATGAAAACAAACGGTTGAGGAAGAAAGACACCACGGTTGAAGCTACAAATTAAAGCCTCTGTCTAGAATTTAATTAAATTTATAAATAAATATTTTTTTAGCAAAAATTTAATGGAGGCTAAAATATGGGCAAATTTAATTAATCATGGCTATGTGTGTGTAATATTATAGAAATACATGGCATAACATGATATACAAGTCTCATATCGACTAAATACTAAAATGAGAGAGCTCTAAGAGCCTATATATAGGAGGTAGCACGTAGAGTTAATAAGCTAAACAATTTTCGTATATATCTGAGGTGGTATTAGAAAAGTCCCAATTTTGAGTTTGTAAACTGTTGGATTAGGTTAAAATTTTGTCATCCTCTTTGTCACATCCAACTTGTCGATTTCAACGGTTGGATCGTTGATCTAATCTCTGAGGTATGAGTTATTAAATATGCTTTGAACTCATTTTTTAAGATTTTGTAGATAGAACCTTGAAGAATAAATTGTCATTTTTAAATTCATTCACCGTTGGATCGAGTCACAATTGGACAATAGACTTATGACAGATAAGAAATTAAATTCAATAGTTAGATCAATGATTTAACTTCTGTAGTGAGAATAAACTAGCTCACATTAAATCTATTTGTCTAAGTTCTTTAAAGATAGAACATAAACTATAAATTAGTGGTTTTCTATCTAGGTTATGAATTTGATGATTCTAATGATATAACCTATTAATTAAAGGAGAATTTTAGTTAATGGAGCCTAGAAATTTAATCTAAATCATCATCATCATATATACATATGTTATTATTCCAAATCTTAGAAAAAGGCCTTTCGAGCTAGAATTTTAAGTAACAATTGAAGTTCTTAGAGGGGAAGTTAGAGGCTAAAACTTTGTGAGTAGCTTACTCTAATACTGTAGAGATAATATTTTAATTTTATTTGCAGATATAAACCCTATTGTGGCATTTTCGAGTTAGGGTCTTGGTTGTATTTAACTGTTAGCTATGAGGTCAAGTGACTAAATTTCTATCTATTGTATACTCAAGTATAAGGTTGGTGAGTGGTTTTATAACCAACTTTTTATACGTATATTATGTTTTGTATGAATTGTCTTATAGGATGCTACTTTGAAAAGGATTGAAACCGTTTGTATTATTGGAAGTTAATGATTATGACTATGATGTATTGTTCTGGAATTCGTTTGATTATGCGTATAAATGTGTTATTGTGAATCCTGTGTATCTAGTTGGGTTGGGGGAAGGAGATTATTGGAGTTATAAGATCCATATACTTGCCACAAGATATTAGGCTCCATATAGAACTCTATGGTTAACTACTATTATTGTCTTACCTGTTGTTTAAGGGACTACGACACCCCACTAATTCTTCGACGGGGGACTTATGGTTCTCCAAGTACCCTATGATTTTTGGTTGGTCCACATCAATCATGTGATGAACTCGTGAGAGTAACCAATCAAATGAAAAGAACTTAGTCGATAGATCTAGTCGAGGGAAATAAGGAGGATAAAAAAGTGGGTTTGGGTTCAGTGATTGTAGATGACATGAAATCTTTATTAATATTTATATATTGTCAATAAATGAAAAATGTGATCTCATTTATGACATGATCAATTGCATAAGGCTAGCTAAAATATCTGACTTATTTGATCATTGTGGATTTAACTATTAAATATATGTCTATTGACTATTACTAAATCTATGTATCCTACCTAACATCTTGTTAGCTCCATACTAGTGTATGTAATAGGTAGGGGTTTAGTTACTAAGACGTTGTCTCATTCTTATTATTTAATATTTTTACAGGTAAAAGTTTTAGAGGAGAGATATCAGGGAAGGCTCAAAAAGATTGTAGCTGCATTAGCAACTTATAGTGCCTCTTAGATTTATGAGTTATGTTGTTTATTGCATATTGCCAACCTAGAACAATCTGTGTCTAACTCATTCAAGCATTATCATGTTTTGTGTCATTTCAATTATTCTGTTGTGGTATGAATGCTGATAGTTGACTAGAGGCTTAGAATTGCATGTGACCTGTTTATTATGAATTCATTACAAAATAAGGATGGGGCTTAATTCTTACCATTTTTAGTTTACGAACTATATAATATATTGTTTATAAGACTCTTGGATTCTATTGCCCTAAATGGGTTATAACATGGAGTTTATTATCTATAAATTTATAACTATTGTTAACCAAGGGCATGTTGTTTTATAACAATGTTAAATGAGATTGATCATTTCTAACATGATTTGTCTATGAATGTGTTAAGAAAAGTTATTTTATCCGTGATAGTATGTATGATTAGATTCCGCTCTTTTCCACTATGGATAACAATATTATATAGTTAGTTAGTTTATAGGATCATAATAGATTTGAATTTGTTGTTAGCATGATTTGGTTATAAAAAGTTGTTTCTTGAAGTTACTCTAAAACGGTTAAGTTCATCGGTTAATTCAGGAAGGTTCTTTCATATTTAATAAAGATAAAATTAAAAATATATTAAATTAATAAATTTTAAAACTTTTCTTACTTCTCGTAAAACATATTGAGAATAATTTATAAATAAGATCAATGTGATAATATTGTAATATCTTGCCTGCCCAAATAATGATTGGATAATAGCTAAGTAAAATAATAGAAATACACATAAGGCATTGTATTAGAAAAAATTTTGAAAAAATTTGGTCTTTAAGGGTAATTTTAAAAAATATGCACAAAGTTTTAGAAATTTTTAAAAATTTATGAAAGAGATTAATATCTTTAATCATATTTGAGGCATGATGAAGCATCATCTCCTTTATCTGATATTTTACTTGTTGATTCATTTTACTTCTTGTTTCTTCTGCTTCTAATACTTTTTGGATAACTGCTAATATTATATATATATATATTTATATATTTGAAAGTACTAACATAGATTAAGTTGTATTGTTGTTTCAAAAGCCAAAACTGTATTGTTGATTCTTTCACATAATATGGGCGCCAAGATTTAATTGTTTATATTTTTATTTTTTAAAAAATATTTTTTAATGAATAGATAATCCATAGTAAATGTAATTTTTTTAACTGTCAATTTTTTGAAAAAATAATTTTTTATTTAAAAATTATTAGTTAAAAATTTAAAATCTAAACCATTAAAACTGTATTTAAATGGTGTAGATTTTACTGCAGCAATACGTATTATGGTGTTGAGCATTGCAATGAACACCAAAACTAGTTCCGCTTTACCTAGGGGTCTTTTTTCTTTTTCTTTTTTTAAATCGAATCTTTATTTATAAATTTTTTTCTTGTTTCTTATTTCTTATTTTATCTATATTTTTAATGTCAGTGTTATCTAAAATTTATTTACATATTTTGATATTTTATTTTTATGTAAAATGATTAATATAAAGTTATCTATATTTAGTATATTATTTTCAATGATTTTGTGAGGTATATTAATATTACGTGAGCTTGTTCTTTTAAGAACATAATATGATCCCGTTACCTTTTCAAGTTGAACGTCCAGTAAGACTTTTAAGATATTATCTAAAATATTTTTATTAATCATGTGTATTAATTTAAACTATTATTTGATGAAATTTAATATTTATAACTACTACAAAGACTATTTTTTAAAAAAATAGATAAATAGAGAAGACAAAATAAATTAAAATCTTATATTTAAAATTGAATTAAATCTCAAACTAGTTTTTATAAGAAAAGCATTAGAAATACAAATAAGACATCCTATTAGATATGCCCAAGTGAGGATAAAAGAGTAAGGGAAAATCTTAAAAAAATAATTGCTAAATTTTAAAATTTCAAATTAGAAATTATTATAAAAATGTGTTTTCATTTGCTTTTCGAGTGTAGTAATCTTCTCTATACGTGTAGTAATCAATATTGATTTAAATTTTTTTTAAAATTTAATAATTATTTTTTTTCCCAAAGAGTAATTTTAAAAAAATTTCGTGGGTAATCTTCAGAAAGAAATATACTCCCATTGCTTCTGAGCATTCCAACGTCCGTCCTAGCTCTGCCACCTGGTGTGAACGTACTTATGTGTGGTTTAAGGCACCCATGGTTTGCAAAAGACGGGAGTCGTTGCAGAGCCATCTGATTGCTACACTATATGTTATGATTTAAAATATTAAAAAAGTAATTCAGTTGTTGGTAATAAATCTGTAATGACTTTCCTACATAATCTTTGTTTATGTATTTTAGCGTTACTTTTAAGAATTAATAGGAATATACTAGGGTAAAAACTAATGAATTGAGATATTATATTTAATGAATTAAGATATTATATTTAAAATCAAATTTAATTTTCAATTAACTTTTATATTGAAGTGTTTGGATAAAAATTAAACCGTAATTTCAAAATTAATTTTACAATATACAAGATAAATATGTGAAGAAAGTTTTATCTTAATTCATGCTGAAACATGTTAGACTCTTCTTACTAGATGAGGTAAAATGGGTTGGTCCGTTAGTTACAGGCCAACCCACCCTGGGCTTAAGACCATGCGGTTAGGTCCTGAAAAGATAACCTCCTAATAGGCTCATATTTTGCCAACCCACCCTACTAAGGGGTGGGTTGGCGGGTTGGCTCGCTAACCTCCATTCATATTTTAAAATTTTTTTTACGCATATATTTAAAATTTTTTAAATTAAATTATAAATTTTAATAGACTAAATTCTTTTTATTCTTATATTTTCATATAATTATATAATTAAATTAATCTCAAAAGTTGAAATATAGACATATAATTCATTGTTAATAATTATTTTATTAGTATAACAATGATAAAACAATAAAAAAATGAAAAATAAAATTTAAAATTAAAGTCTTTAACAAAATATAAAGTTATATATAAATTAAATAAAAATGATAAACTTTTTTTATTAAAATTAAAAAAATTGTAAAAATATTTTTAAAATGAAAAAAGGACTGGCAGGCTAACTCGCGGGTTAGCGGGCTGCAGGCTGGCTAGTGTGAGTTGAAGAGGACCATATCAAATATTTATATTTTTTCCCGCCACAACAGGAGTCTTCATCCTGCATGCCATGAAGTATGAGAATGACACTGCTGCTTGGCGCTCATATGCAAGTTTCGTTTGCAGCTGGACGTATTTGCGTTCTATGGGGACTGAAACTCATATATGTTGTCTACATGGACTATCATTGAGATGATTGGGCTCGGCCTAACATTATGAACGCCTTAAACAAACGGACTTTTTACCAAAAGGAAAGCTGTTCGGCCTTATTTTAGAAGTTTGCAAAAGTACATTTTCCAGACTAACAATCGGCTCCCAAATGTTATTTTGAAGAACGCTACAAGGACTTGCTTTTGTGTTTTCCATTCGGCAGATTGAAACTCTCTGATAGACGAGAAAAATTCATAGAGGAGGAATTCAAACTTGTTGATACGGTTTGATCAAATTTTAGCTTTTGTTCCTGTAATTTCAAGTCATGACATTTGATATTTATAGTTTCATAGTTTCCTAAGTACTAGTTTGAGTTAACTTTATTAAGCATTTAAATCAAACCAATATAGAGATTAAAGCCAAAACTCGTTTAATTCTATATTTTTTTATAAGTTTTGATTTTAGTTTATATATTTAATGGCGTTAATAGCATTAACTAAAAGTTAACATTGTTAAATATTGACCAAGTCTTTAGAAAACAATAGGGACAAAAATTTATGATTGAAAACTACAAGAAATAAAATCAAAATTCAACCAAATGGTAAGAACCAATAATTATATTAATTCATGAACTAGTGTCCCTCTTTAATATCAGGTTGACAGAATAATTAATGATAGTTTTTCATTTTTATTCCTTATTACAAGGAGGAGATGACGATTTTACATGGGAGGGAAAAAAAAAGAGAATTTTCTAATCATATTCTTTAATAAGAGTAAATAGGTAACTTTCATTAATTTAAAACATATTTAATAATTTAACTAATGAGAAAGCTTAACTAACTTTTTATATTGTTGGTGGTAAATAGTATGTGATAGGCATAAAGGAAACAAGGCAGCAAACAAAGCAAAATTAGGAGGCAACAAATCACAATAACTTTGCAATATTATATTCAAACTTTTGTCCCACAATGACATATACATATTCAATTCAGATCAGTGATATTAAAGTCTCAAAATACAGTTGTAAAGAGAATATGTCATCAAAAACAATCATATACAAGAACTCCTTTAAATAAAATCATTTTTGTGTCCTTAATTAAAATATGAAGCAATGAGTCCAAAACTTGCATCATATATATATATATATATATATATATATTATATATCTTTTTTTTTCCTTTTCGCTGGAGCAATATTTATATACTACCTTCAATCTTTAATATAAGAATTAGTTGAGGGAATTGAATTTTGTTTAAATATAACACTTCAATCAATTTTGTCTCTCATTTTTTTCCCAAAATACCCCTATTAATTGTAAGAGATTCCTACCAATTCACATGATTAAAGATGATAGTTTAGGAAGGTTAACTTATATTTGTGATAACTAACTAGCTTAATTAATTTTTTTTAATCTCTTCAAGTTTGTTACGTAGCTCTTATATTAAGTATTAGAGGTAATATCAATCACCAATACATACGTCAACTTTGCAGTATTCAAACTAATAATTTTTAAAGCTTTAAAGAATATGCCATCAAAGCAATTACATAACAAGATAAAAAGTGCCTCATCAGAGAGGTTGCTAGAGATAAGAGAATCTAAACATGGAGGAACTCAGATTTGTGAAGGAAATAAGGATGAACGAAGAGAAGGTGATGATGATGATGATGATCCTTATTACTGCAGATTCAAGGATGATCAGCAACTCAGAACAGAAAAACTATCAAATATCAACAATGGATTGCTCACCATTATGGCTATGGATGATCAGTTCAATATGGTTTCTCACTTTGCCAGAATGCTTTATGACCATCACTTTTTGGCAGGATAAATAGGCTTTTTTGCCACTAAATTATTTTGCAAGCAATACTGTTCATCCTAGATTATTTGTTAAAGCATCTTTTTACATACATTTCATATGTCAAAATCGTTATCACCCTTAGGTTTGATTTGGTAGGAAGCATTGAAAATTAGGGATAAGGATTGAAAAAACCTATTAAAATAGTGTTTAACATAAGGAATTACCTATTATATGGGATTCAAACCCATATATGTGGGATTAGGAATACTATGGG